AGGGAGAGTACAACGCTATGGTCACTCACCTAGTCCCAATGACCAAGAGGTCGAGATGGGGACTAGGGAGTGCCTAAGGGGGTCCTTATATACTAGAAGGGCTGCTTAGCAACCAAAGACAAGGCGCGAGAGCGAGGCAGTGAAGATGACAAAGGGAGAACAAAGGGCGGGAAGGAAAAGGCAAAGGCATGGCGATCACGGGAACGTAGCATGCGGGTGTGGGAACGTATCTGCAGTGTCCAAACTGGGATGGGCTAAGAAAGGAAATGGTCCGAAAATGGAAGGTGGGCGTCAAGGGGAGGGGAATGAGCGGCAAAAAGGGGCGTCTGTCCAACGTCCGTGACAAGGACAAGCGTCCCCATTGAGTTGACCAGCTCGTGCCATCAGCAAAATGTCATGGTCTTGAATGTGGTCTTGGGGTACTTGGCCAAGTACTCCAAGACCACCAAGTACTCCAAGCACATCAAGACCAATGGACTTGGTCAAGACCGTTGGTCTTGGCCAAGCCGGGTGGGTGGTCTTGGCCAAGACCATTGGTCTTGACCAAGACCACCAAGACCGTTCCAAGACCAGAATCAAGACCAGAGCCAAGTACATGCTAGAAGTTCATGCTATAAAAGACTATAGCTCAGTTTTTAGTTGGATCATATCAGACATAGTTAGTCTCTAGCATGGTGATGTACAGCAATACAATGATTAGCAGATATGCGAAGGAAAAAAAAGACACCAGCTAGGATTGAACCAGCAACCTCTAGCACTACCACATTGAACCACCATTTAGACCACTGCACCATATTGACTTGTAGATAGATATGTGCACCATAAATATATGGTGCATTTTGTTGGACTTGGAAAGAATTGTCACTACTCAGTACTGCAACAATGCAGTTTCAAGGCTAGTAGTGTTACCTGCTATGAAGTTAAGGGCCACTAGACTTCTATTGATCACTACTGTACCCTGCAATAGCATATGTAGGGTTGTCATTGTAGTGCTATAATGGAAGTAACATGGTCTTTAAGCATTGAACACTATAGTAGGTCTCATGACCATTCTTATCTTGAACATATACACAATTATGCAGTTTATAAGATCATTACTAGACCATATCCTTATATGATCTAGATACTCTTATATTGATTTAGTACAAATTGTACCCTT